TGCCCCGGGGTCTCCTCCCAGGTGGACGTGTTCAGAAGACCCCCAGAGGAAGCCCCTCCAAGGGCAAAGACATGCAAGGACGACCACTGCAGCCCTGGTTGGTGCTACTATGGCTCCTTCTAGACCTCCTGGTTACTGCTCACACTGGGCTTACTGGTTTTTGATCTTCTGGATCCTTTTCCATCTTTGTCAAGTCTCTCAGTCAGATGTTTCTCTTCCTCTGTTCAGTTCTTTTGCATGTGGAGCCACGATGCAGACATAGATAGACACAGTCCACAGGTCCAGAACTGAGAAGGTTCTGCTGCTCATTACAGAATCACGTTCATGCAGTTAGACTGACTGGAAACCACAGTTGATGTTTCAGATCAGCTCAACCGGCTCCTTTTGATGCGAAGGAGCAGCGGCTCTACTCCGAGCTCCCTCCGGATGTCTGAGCTCCTCACCCTGTCTCTGAGGCTGAGCCCAGCCACCCTGCGGAGGAAGTTCATTTCAGTCGCTTGTATTCGCGATGCAATTTTGCTATCTGGTAGAAATTATTCTAACAGCTTAAAAGTGCTTTTTTTTCCACTACAGACATTTTGACTTTTTTGTTGTAAAGAAAAAAAACAACACAAAGACATTATTTGAGGCTTTGTTCCAGTTGGCCGTGGCAGCACCGCATTGAGCTCCTCCTTCTGTGAAACGTCAAAGGAAGCGACCTCTTCGATCCGTCCTTTCAATCGATGCGGGAAAGTGAACATTCTTGTTTTCTGTTTTTCAAAAACAAAACCCTTTGTGCTCACATTATGGTTGATCTGATCTCCTCATCTGCTGCTGCTAACCGGCTACTTGGTGTTTAGTCGAGTTAAACTAAACCTGGAGACGGCGTCTGCTGCCGACACGCTGACAAAGTCCCGTCTGTCTGAGAAACAGCAGCAGCTACTATCGCTGTGTCTCTGCTATTGATCGCACCTCCCTGACCCACTTTCCTGTGTGTGTCTCTGTGTGTTTGTGTCTGCTTTCTGAACCAGACAGAATAGGTATCACAGCGTACGCCTCGCATATCATATCCGGCGTGCGCACGCACAAGAAAAAAAAAAAAACGCTGCACTCATGCACGCTTTGCTTCTCATAACTCTCTTTCAATATGAAACAAGCGCCTGGTCGGGTTCTGTGGGAAGCTCTGCGGGAGCTGTCTGGACATTCTGATTGAAGGAAAATCTCATTACAGATTAGCTGTGGGCAAAAAATATGATTAATACCGAAGCGGGACAATGGATGATCCTCACTCCCTTTAAGTCCGTTCGTATGTGGACAGATAATGTCCCAGAAGGAGCTTCCAATAAGAACCCTCCACTTGTTTCCACCAACTCCACTCCACAGATTGACCAGCGGGTTTGTGTCTGGGACTGAACAGAAGATGACTCAAGGTCAATTTTTTTTATTTGTGCAGACGTGTGTGGTTGCGAAACCCGAAGATTGTCACTTAACTTTTCTATAAATAATGGGAGACAGAAACACACCTTCCCAGACGACGTCACTCATCGCATTAGCGCGTCCTGCTGGGAGACATCAGTCACATTCAGCGCACCACAAACTGCTGACAGGGGTCTCCATGGAAACGTCACAGAAGCGCTTCACCTCCTCGCATTTTTTTTTTTTGTCCTACTGCAGGTAAACGTCTCACGGCAGCACATTCCATTTATAGCCAGTTCACTACGGAGGACGCCGTGACACTTGACATGAAGCAACCATACGATGCGTTATTTTGAGTCATGGATGGAAACAGGAAACTTAGCAAGAAAACTATACAAACCTGACACAATAATGCACTCCATTGATTTTGGAGTTTCTTTTAAGTTATCACATCGTCCCTGCAGAGTTTTCCGCCAGCGAGGTCTCGACAAAAACGTTACGCCCGAGGCTCAGATTTTATTCGCTGCTCGAAAAAAACATTAGAAAGCATCTTTTTTTATTTTTACCATCCACGCAAAACTCCAGCAACTCCACTAAAAGACTACGCACTTTCACCTTTTGGAAATTTTAAACATATTCTCCTAAATCATTTGAATTTTGCGCCTCAGAACAACAGACCTTTGAACGAGCAGCTTCACATTTCAGTCTGTTCTCGTGTGTCATCGTCTGTATTTATCATCGGTGTACATTTTAAGAGAAGATTACAGGAACTGTCACCTGCAACAAGAGATAACAAGCCCCGACTTTACTCTAAATCATTGTCTTTTCTCCGGAGAGATCACAGCAAACGTTTCCTTTGTGTGCTTTATGATTATAATAATAGCACAATCTGCTCATATAACGAGTCCTGCTAATTTTTATGCATTTAATCTACTCGTATGGAAAAACAGATAAAATGGCACAGAATCATCTCGGTTTTACGAGGAGCCGTGAGTTATTAGAAGCATAAAGAAAGAGTGAAGGAAAGTTTTTAGACTACTTATTAGAGCTTAAAGTCTTAAAATGAGGCTTGGCAGTAAAACGGCTTCTCAGATTAGCAAAGCGCTGCATTATGAGGTTCGGGTGCAGAGCGGGAGTACTGCTGTACATGAAACTTACTAAAGTTCTGCAAAAAAATGTAAACAGTTCAGGCAACAGGAAGAAGTCTTTGATGAAGTGTTGTTTTTTTTTCCTGGAGGGTCGCACGCTGAGGAAAGGGGGCTGAGAGTTTTGATTTTTATCGGTGAAACAGGACGTATCCGTGAAGGCAGCGACTCCTGTCTGTCAGCGAGCGGCGGGATGAATGATTCGGGGCCACGGCGCTGCTCCTCTGCCATTACCTCGATGATATTTCTCCACTGCTAAATGTCACATCAATATTCTCTGCAAGCTAATTAATCTCGGCTCCCGCGGAACCCGGTGACACCTCCCATCCTGTTGGCACCGTCGCCGGACCTTTTTGCTCGTAGCGCATATTTGCTCCGAGCAGCTCAAACATTGCGCAACCTGGCGCATCCTCACCTCCTCTAAATCTTTCAGTGGGCTTCAATGAGGGGACTTTATTAGGGAAGGCAGCAGCGGCACAGCTTGACTTTTATTCAATTGCGGGCAGAGGGTACCTCAAGGATAGACGGGAAAGGAAAGCGATTTTTCACAGGGGAGGATTTGAGTCTCCTGTATCCTGAGGTGTGTGTTGTGTTGCGGGGGGAGGTGAGTTATAGAGATAGGTGAGCGGGTCATTACTAAAGACGAACAAGGTCGGATCAGTCCTCGCTGCTGAAGGAACGACTGGAAGAACCCGAAGAATTGATGTCGGATCACAGCGATATTAACCTAATAGCTTCTGCCCTTTACATCCCATTATTAACTACGCTTCTCGAGGAAACACGCTTCGATCCTACGTAGCCGTCAATGAGAAAAAGGGAATCCATTAGATGCCATTTGGAGCAGCAAGTCACCCTCTGCCTGACTATCATATCAGATAACTCTGGAGTCTAGTGATGAAGGGTTGGCTTTCATGCACATATTGTGTGAAAAAAAAAAGCTTTCCCAGAGGTATATATTATACAAAGTGTTTTTGCTATTTAAGTCATGACATTGAGAAGTTCAAAACTATTTAGGCCTCAGGGGATTCAGGTTCCTCCCGCAGTAAAAGCCTGTTGCTAAGCAATGTCAGATAAAACCAGGGATTGTAGTCATAGTCTTGGAAACATGCACTTAGTGAATTTGCCGTGAATCACAAAGCATAAAGAATGCCAGGACCCTGATGAGTAAAAGCGGAGTCACTGTCTCTTTCGGATATCATACACGGATAAGCGCTCACCTGTCCCACGTAGACCAGCAGTCGGGCGTTGAGAGGACTCTCGTCGGGGCTCAGCCAGAACTCGGAGTTATCATCAGACGACACGGAGAACTGGAAGTCACCTGGAGGGGAGAGGAAACATGATCAAAGTGAGCGTGAGAGGGAAGGAGATGTGTACGATCCCAGATAAGTATAATCAGAGCGTCATCACACGGGGCATGACCTCAAAAAAATAGACTCCTGGGCGGGAAAATTCACCAAATATGTGCTGCCCGGACCGCCCCCGGCTGCAGTCGGAGATGACACGTTTGGTTACGGTGATAGGAGGAGTGTTACTGCAACTGAATTTCCAATCCATACGTACCGACTCGGTGGAAGGAAAAAGCCAGATAGAGAGAGCAAACCAGCCGATTAACGCTATATTTAAGCTGAAATGTTTCAGGAGTGTGAACAAGTCGGCAAATTCGTCTGACAAAACCAATAATATTAGAAACTGGAGGAAACTGGTTTGCCTTTAGCTTCTGTGCACCGTAAACTGTTGTCCTCCTATCAGAGTGCATTCATTTTAATTTTGGAAGAAGATTAAAATCCTTTGGTTGGATATTTATTTGTCATCCAAGACTCATCTTTACTGGTCATCAGATATTACACATTGGAGATTCATCCTGTCAGGTTGTCCGTCAAACATTTGGCAAACATTATTTAAATTTTTTTAAATCGGTGTTAACCTCAGATGAAGCACGTCTGAGTGAGGAGCTTTGTCACGCAGGTTGAAAAGGCTTCTTAATAAAGATTTCTAAATGTAAAACAGAGTAAAGTACTCCCAGAGATAACCGAGGTGACGTTCAAGTGCAAATCACAAATCGCTTTATTACCAGGTGCGTGTTGTCTGTTTCTTCACTTATGTTCCACTCATGTTCTGTCCCCATGACAATACAGCTGAACACAAATATCTAAATATAGACTTAAATATACGTCCGTCTATGTAGGAAATTAAATCTGCAGTGGAGTCAGTCCATCTGAAATCAACACATTTGTAGAAAATTATTTGCTCAATCTTCTCTAATTTGCCTGAAGCGTTAACAGCAGAAAATAACTTTAAGTATTGCATATTATAAAGTATTCTATATGTTTACTTTTCTATTATTATAGTGAAACATAACTACATATAGTTCAGAAAATGTCACTATTTCACTTCTGCATTACCAATTTTGTTCAAGTGTGCTAGAAATAGGACTTTTTTTTTTCTATCACAGTTTTAATTAGTTTTCAACTCAACATATTCAAAAATGAGATTCAGAATCAATGACAGCGAGACAAATAGCAGAAAAAAATTTCAAGTTTTAATCGTTAACAGTTTATCGTTTAAACATTGCCTCAAATTTCAAAAAAGAGAAAATATTGAAAAGCGTTACCTCGGAAGGTTTTTGATATGTCGAGCTTAAAAGTTCAAAGATGCCGTTTCACATATCCACAATAAATGATAAAAAAAAACGAGCAAATCAGAGACGGTCGAGCAGAAGACCCCTGATGGTTTTAGATGGAACTGTTAAATGATGAATGGGTGGACGGTCGGTACACGGAATAAAAATGCAGCTTATTAACGCTTTTCTTTGCTTTCAACGCTGCAACTGTGCCCTTGAAGATAAATCCATATTATCACACAATGATAAGCTTCTATTTAGCTATTGCCATGGTGAATCGTGGCGTTGTTTTGTTTTTTTCCATTCACCACGGATGCACTTAACTCTTTTAAGTCGACCCTGATTAACTTGCTCCAGAACCTAAATCTGAGTTTCTCGTCTCCGCTCAGAGCTCAGGGTTTGTTAAACCTGGAGGTGACTGTTTGGTTATTTCATGAACACCCAGGTGAGGGAATCAGAATGAGTATTGTGCATTTGGATAGAGTACAAGCAGCAGAAACGCTCATCGGGTATTGAGGAATTCTCCAAGGAGGCGCATTTTAAACTACCAAAATGATACTCAGTTAAATCCAGCTCATATTTTAAACATACTTGTACTTGGCTGAATGTAAATGCTAAAGGTGAAGGGCACTTGTTGGAGCTCACGCTGCGCACGGAGGACTTTACGACCTTTAAACCGTCAGCCGGAGAGAGCAATAGGACCGGCGACGGCAACACCGGAGACCGGAGTGAACCGTAATCTAATTAATAACTTCATATTCTGCAATTTGTGTAAGGGCACTTGGGCATTAGGGGCTTTTCAGTTTCCATAGCAACCGGGCTGGAGGGTAGGACCGCGAGGTGACAGAAATAAGATTTAGCTGTGAGATGTCTGGCATTCAGCCCTAATAAAAACCCGAATATCCACTATATTAGCGGCGCCGAAGCTCTAAGAGGGATGTTGAAATTGTCGACTCTTGTAAAGGATACACGCTCCGAGGCCCTCCTCAGCCTCATATCGAGGGGGGGGACTCTCTAATAAAAACGAGCTAGTTACCGTCTCTGTAAGGGTGGAGGAAGCCGAATATTCTCAGGCCGTAATTCTTCCACTTCGGAGCCACCGCCAGCTTCTTCACCGTGGTTCTGGTCTGCAATCAGAAAAGAAGTGTTCACAATCGAAAAGCTTCTCCTACAAGTGAAAAGAAAACTTGTTAATCTAGAATTTGCCTCGCTTATCCAAGTGTGGCCTTATTAGACTGACTTACAAGCCACTGATCGTACACACAGCAGCAGAAGAACAGTGGCGCTGGTTTAATTACACCGCCTGCCTCCACATTAATCACGGTGAGCGCACTGCGTTTAAGCCTGGACCGTGCAACCATGTGGTCTCAGTCCATTAGCATGACATCACTCATGGAGCAGGTTAAGTGCATATTTGATTGCATATCAGCTTGAAATATGGAAAAAAAAAAAAAAGTCAGCCAGCGATGATGTTTTCAACCAACTGGTGGACCCAGTGGAGCTCAGTTTGCGATCTAATACCTGGAGGAAGACATCACACATCACTTTGCATTTCCCTTCATTAGCATCGTTCATTATTTCTAAGCTATCGCTGCCTAAAAGCTTTCTGCTCAGTTAAGTTCAGGACAAAACTATGCAAGACATGTACATGAGGTTAATAACTCAGCGGCGTATTGTTCACCACGGAGTTCTCTGATTATTGATTTTGCGGTCTTTTAATATGCTTTTAACAACATATTGCAAATCATGGCGGAGATGAAACGGCGTTTTCAGGCACCAATGAGGGGCCTAAAAAAATCACCATTCGTGATTTATGAACAGTTCGTTAGGAGGGAACGACGGGAACTATACAGACACACTGACAGTCGACCTCACCAGCAATTTCTGAACAATAAACACCACTGAAATCACTTTATACTTATTTATGTTTCTGTAAGCACCTGTTGGCGCTACCTATTTCTATTTCTGTACATATCACTGTTATTCGTGCATAAGGAGAGAAGTCATTTCATTATGACAATAAAACAGGTTCTGATTCTGACATTCGCTTCTCAGCACAAGGAGCTGTTTTCGTTCTTCTGCTCGTCTCGTCAGACGTGTGATTGGAAGCTGCAAGGGTTGTATGTGAGTCTACGA